GCTCAATAGTGACATCATATGGCAAGGTGGGGGGCTGAGTTTAGTGAAAATGTATTCAAATTTTCACAAAAAGTAGGGGGCTAAAGCCCCCCCGGTTCCGCCGTCCCTGCAGAACACTCGAGAAGTGTCCAGAAGCACTCCGCTACGCGTCGTGCTTCTCCTAACAGTTCTCTCGTGTTGTGCCAACCCCCGCGTGCTTTATGACAGCACACAGCACGCGCGCACGTTTTCTATTTCTTCAATAAACGAATGCTAACTTGAATGCAGTAATAGCTCTGAACATGATTTTAGCCATACCTACAATGTGTAACTACAAAGTTCATGAAAGCTATAAATTAATCTTGTCCATAATCCTCAATGGAAATATAACTTTAAACCGTTGGTTCGGCCCTAGCACAAAGCATTATTTAACCAAAACGACTAGACGCTACAAAATCCTAATTAATTAGACCACACCGCACTTTGGTAAAGAGAGATAAAACATATCAAAACTGTGGCATAACAGTACCAAGAATCTAAAGTTTCATGAAAATCCATCAATTTTTAAGCAAACTGGAAGACAATATTGTGAAAAACAACGTTAGAAAATGTTTAACGAAATCTAAATAAAAAAGCCACAAAACAAGGAAAAAGTTTAAAAGGAGCGTACTATGTATGTATATGTATGTATGTATATATGTCCCTTGATCATAGTTGTCAGCCTTTCAGATGCGAGATTGCGAGATTTATATCTGACACAGACTGAAGACGTGACTAAGTCAAACTTGACACGAGATATCTGACACTACCTTCCACTACCTTCACTTTGGTGTTAAAAGCCAAAATAGTTGAGGTACTACATGTGCTAAATTCAGGAATATCCGAGTATTTTTGACGCGATACGAGCGAGTTAAAAAAATTGCTAAATTCCCTTGGAATTATGTTGAAGTCATACCGCAAATAGAGATTCTTTCATCAGCGCACAGAGAATTAAAAACAGCAAGCATTTTTCGATAACTTGATTAACTTGCTCTGGACCTAAAGCAAAAAAAGAGAAAAAAGGAGCTGATGAATACATACCTTGATATAGATTTCGTACTTTTGTTCTTCCAGAAGAATTATGGTCTGATGTGTGCAATAAAATTCGCCAATATTTATAGTAGAGGTTGCTTGTGATTGACACATGCAAATAAGATAATCATCACAATAATAAACAAACAAGGCGTTGCGCATCATAGTTAGTGCGTGACCAGTATCTCTTGTGTTTTTAATATTGAACTGTCGGCCAACCAGGGCGCCAACCAGGGCGCCAACTACGCTCAACTGAACTCAATTTACTTTGAATTGATTCCATTGGAAAAAATTTCACAATCATTCATGACAGCGGGTTCAAAACACGGCCACTCATATTGCACTCATATTGTTCAATCTTAGTTGTTTTGAATTTGGCAAGTCCACAAAAAAAATGAAAGAAAAAGCGAACTGGGAACTGCTCAAGAAAAAACAAGTTAAAGTTTTTGCAAATGTCCTCATGGCGAAAGGCCAAAAACCGTTTTTCTCCCCTGTCCCTAGCAAGTTATTAAAAAAGTAGTGAACTCGTTGAGGCGAGCGACTATTCTTTATTTTTCAAGCGCGTCTTTGGGAAATGTCTGTGAAAGAATCTAATACACACGCTTTGGTGAATACGTTCAATTCTGAAGTCATAATCGAAGTATAACAAAAAGACAGTTTATTTGAGTAATGGTCAGTAATAATTAGAGGCTAAACAGAGAGATAAGAAGAGAACTCGACCTTTCTGCTTTAACACTATTTTTGAAGTTCGTGCAAGATAAAACAATAAGTGAAAACAAACATGTTCTTTTGTCCATACCGTGCTTCATTTTGCTTCGCTTTAGTCGTTAAGGCCTGTGGGATACAAGACGTTCAACATGCTTACTTTGATTAGTATAAAAAGGAATTTCCATTCCTTACAATTTTGGGGTCACCTATTGTTTTAGCTTGCCTTCCAAAATAGCGTTTAAAAGCAAAGAGTTATAATCGAAGTTAAATGAAAGTTCAGTTAAGTAAGAATTAGAGGCCGAACAGAGAGACAAGAAGAGAACGAGTTACAGAGAAGTGGCTAGTGATGCGCAAGAAGCGCATAAATAGTTGTGCAGTCATGAGGCAGCATGGATACACCCCGCCCGAGAAAGTGTATAAACTGACTAATGTCCAAGACCAAATCGAAAACAAACAGTGTCATGGAAATGAAGAATTTCTATTTCAATTGATCATCAGATTCGTAATTTTTCGGATATTTGAATAGACCTATTTGCTTCTGGTTTTGTTGTTTTGAAACAGAGGGCATTCAAGATTAACTAAATACAGTATAGCCTAGCATGTTATGAGGAGTGAAATCGCTCAGACGAGCGACTATTCTTTATTTTTCAAGCGTGTCTTTGGGAAATGTCTTTGAATAATCTAATACAGTAAAACCCCGCGTATAACAACCTAAAATTTAAGAACCTGTTAGGCTGAAACTTTCATTTTAAGCACCCTTCACGTAAGAACCATTTCAGGCTGAAATTTGAGAAGTTCTTCATTTCTAAATATAAAGTCGATCTGTTTTATTTTCTTGTAAATAATAAAATACAGTACTATCCCCCCTCAATTTCACCTGCCCCCCTCTGCCATACATTATGAACGCAGCCTAAATTTGAAAACATTTATTGGGGAAAGTAAAATTAAGCCTGTTTAACTATACTTTCTTATTACCTGTTTTAAATAAACCGCTATTTACCTAATAGGTAAATAGAGGCTTTGCGCCATCAACATTAATTGGATCGCCCAAAAAGCTAGCTTTGGATTGCCTGTGGTTAGAAGGCAGAATTCTTTTGAGGTTATAAAATGCCTTTGCTCTCGGGAATTGAATTTCTTTCTTACGTAAAATTGTAATGTTCCTGCTATACACATGGCTGCCGTCACGTGATGGTGCAAAGAGCCTTAATCAGGTAAATAGGTAAATCGCTAGATTTATGTCAATATCAATATAACTTCAGTTCAAAACAAAATACTAGTGGAATGTCTCAAATTATCACGGATTTAGATATGGGCTGTAAGGCTAATGCACGCATTTCATAATAATGAACCCTACGATACCCTTCAAGGGCACCGCGGAAATAGGCTTGCGATCGCTCTATTGTACTGGTCAGCGGCGTCTCAAAACAACTCTCAAAATTTTATGAAATTTTTGACTTCGAAAAAGCAACTGGCAATACAAGTTTTACCCAATGCAACAAGTTTCGTTACCATAGGATTCATCGTAATAAATATTCGCAAAAATCTGCGAAAATGTTTGGTTCGTAAGTCACGTGATATGTGACGTCACGCCATGTCACGTGGTCTGATGATTGACAACACAAGTCTCACCAATGCTACCAAGTTTCGTTACCACAGCATGCTTCGTTAAGGAGTTATGGCCAAGGGGCCACAAGATGCGTGTGGGGAGGCGGGCCAGCAGATGTAGGTGGCACGTGCTAACCTTACTGTTTTGATGTGATGATTGGTCTTCCTGTGGTAAGAAGTGTCGTACATATTATCATTTAGATTTTTTTCTGTTCTCTTTTGTAGTAAATAAGTATGAGTTTTATCATCCGCAGAACGATCCCCTATCCTTCTTTTAATATTATTAGACTGGTTAGAAATGCTCACAAAGGTTCAAACTTGAGTCAAATGGCACAATTCGTCCCCAAATGTGAAAGAACTGAATCTGAACTGGATTACATAACAAACCAGCTCAATGAATTCATCCTGGACTATTCGAAACTATTCGTAATCACAGGAGCTGGAATATCTACTGAATCAGGAATACGTGACTACAGGTCTGAGGGAGTTGGTTTATACTCTATCACTAACCACAGGCCGATGGAATATCGAGATTTTCTTCGAAGTGACCAGAATCGACAGAGATACTGGGCTAGAAACTTTGTTGGTTGGGAAGAATTTRGATCTCGTCAACCAAATGCATCACATTTTGCGTTGAACAAACTCGAAAGACTTGGTTTTGTACATTCATTAGTGACGCAGAACGTGGATGCGTTACACACGAARGCAGGAGCGAAGAGAGTTATTGAACTACATGGATGTTCGCACAGGTGAGACACAGGAAGCCCAGCACCACTAAAAATACTCATTTTGCCTCAAAATATCTATTTAAAAATTTTTTTTTAAAAGCTACAAAGCTTTCGCTGTTGTAGCACAGCGTGGGACAATCACAACAGAGCTAGGCTCCAAACTAAGTGAAAGCTCAAAGATCGAATTAGAATTTAGAAATTGATTTTTGAGGAGGGAGAAAAACCCTYGAAGCACAGGAGAGAACCAACAAACAACTCTACTCACATATGACAACGAACCCAGCAGGACTCGAACTCAGGCCTCCCCCCCTCTGCCATACATTATGAACACAGCCTAAGTTTGACATAATGTTCTTTTTTGTAGAGTCATTTGTCTAAACTGCCATCAAGTAACATCAAGGAATTCCTTACAAGAACTATTTTACCAGTTAAACCCAGATTGGCATGCAATAGGTCAAGGCCAAGCACCTGATGGAGACACTTTTCTTGACGACAAAGTAGTGAAAGAGTTTCAAGTTCCACCGTGTCAGGGATGTGGTGGAATCCTGAAGCCACAAGTAGTGTTCTTTGGTGATTCAGTTCCCAAAGATACAGTGAGACAAGCATCTGAACGTTTAAAGGAGAGTAATGCTCTTCTCGTCATTGGTTCTACAGTTGAGGTTTATTCAGCTTACAGATTTATTTTACAAGCAAAGGAACGAAAGAAACCAATTGCTCTTTTAAATGTTGGTAAAACCAGGGCCGACYATGTGGCTCACATGAAGCTGTCAGCTTTGTGTGGTAGTGTACTACCAAGATTGGATGTTTTAAATGAAAGTTAAGATTATGATTGACATGTCTTTTCACAGTGTATGCATAGTTGTAATGAAAGAAAGAAACAATGTCTTGTATGCTCTTTTTGTTTATTTGTACACAATAATCGAATGTCGCTCCAAACATTCTACCCTAATGCAATGATGGAGACAAGAAATTATCAGAGCAGTAAATATTTTCAGATTATTTTATTTGTATAAAGGATATAATGGTATAAAGAGTGTGCTTTATTATGGCATTTGGGTGTTCATTAATTTATCAATATTGTAACATGCCACGTTCATGCCTTTATACATGTCAGTTGTCAGATCCAATATTTGTACATTTGTCTTGCATGAATAGAAGCTCTTGTACCATATTATTTATTTATTGAATTCACAGATTTGCTAACTTGTTGCATGAAAGAGAGGTGTTGGTTGTTCCAATTCTAATGTTACCAACAGTAACAGTGTCCATTCCTCGGCTCAAAATCATGTGCATTAAATTCCTTGACATATTATTAGCAGCCACTGATGTCTTTTCTGTTCTTGCGATACCAACGTGTTTCATCAGGGTCAAACCCTCTGTGTTCATCACCAAAAACAGCCCAATTAGGGGTCTTTGCCATGTAGTCAAGCGACGAGAATGAAGCCTTTCCTTCACTATCTTCATAATCTCTTATCTAGACAAAAATTAATCACAAGATCATTGAAATTTCAAGTCAAAGAAAATATGCACTAATACTCAGTATTTCCATATAAAAGTACTTTGAAATCCCCCTTGYGCTACTTAAAAAAGGATTCCAATCCCACTCAGCATGCAGACCATTTTAGTGTTGTACAATATTAAGCCCAGAGCTTCCAGGGTGTCCTAGGTTGTCTGTGACTCTCCCCTTTCAATTAGCATTAAAGTATCAGGGGCAGATCTAAGTTCTCTATGTCTTTAGTGGAAGGAGGTAGGGATGATTTGTGGAGGTGTTTAGTGGAAG